TCTTAAAAATATAATACAAAGCTAATCTGTTATACAAATAATGCAAAATAAAGATCTAAGCTAAAAGAGATCTAAAGGAAAATAATCCAATCAAAATTATTACATATTTAAAGCTAAATTTCACTAATTAAAAATATTTATATAAAATATGTAATTTCTTTAAAATAATAATAATAATATAATTTTTTTCCAGTTATTAATTTTAAAAAAAATATTTAATTGATATAATATAATTAATATTAGAAATACTGGAATTTTTTTCATATCTATTTTTATTATAAGTAATATTTTTTATGTAATAGTAGAATTTTTGATGAGTTACAAATAGTTTTTTAAATACTTTAAATATTAGCAAACTTAATAATTTTTCTGATTTATTTATATATAAATAAAAGATCAATATATATTGTTTTTACTTATTTTACTTACAAATTTTTCAACTCTAATTCTTAATTTTAATTATAAATTAGTTATTAATATTAATATTAATCATGTGATGATAAAATTTTTAATATAGTATTAAGATAATTATGTAAGAATAATAACTTTGATAATATAAATGAAAGATAAAGTAACTAATAATAAATAAAGATAATTTGAGAATATAGATAAATACCATATATTTATTATATGTAATTTTATTATAATTAAAATTCTTTATAATAAATTTTTGAGAAATATTATTATTTTAACAAAAAAATAGTAAATAAATGTAAGATATTATTCAGTCTGAATTTTTGAATACTATTTGAAATTTATTATTTATATAATTTAATGAAAAAAATCTGATTTTTCAAAACTTCTATATAAAATTTTTTATTTTTTTTTGAAAGTTGAAGAGAATAGAAGCTTTAATATATTTCTTACAGTATTTCTTTAATTAAAATAACTAATTTACTTATATTTATTATTCTAAGAAATACAAAAAAATATTTATATAATATATGAATTAATATGATTTGCTCTCTTGTATTTTATCTTGAAATAAAAATCAAAAGAAAATCTTACTGATGATAGTTTATAGGCTAAAAGTTTTTATTCTTTAATAATCTTATTAATGAGTTAAAGTTTATAAAAGTATAAATAATAAATGATTTGTATACTGATTTTTATAACAATTTTTTAATAAAGATTCAAATGATAAAAAATATTGATATTTTGATAAAGATAATATCTATTTAACTTAGATAAGATATTATAAATATTTAATTTTTATTATCTAAAGTCTAAGCTTTATCTCATCTCTAAAATAAATATTAGTATTCAAAGTTAAATTTATTGTTATTTATTTGTATTTTGCAAGAATATCTTTTTGATATTTTATTTCATTTCATATAATTTTTTTTAGATTAAAAATATATATTAATTTCTTTATTTATTAGAGAGAACTATATTTCTTCACATATTACATATATCAATATTTTATATATTATATTTTATATTTATTTAATATATATTAATACATACTATAATTTTTCTAATTATATTATATAGTATATCAGAAAAATTCATACAGAAGATTCAAGATATATGATAATATAATTTGAAATAAAATTCATACAGAAAACTAATTCAAGACAGACAAGATTTTATTTTTAAACTTATTCTTTATTATATAATTATTGTTATTATTAAAAATACAGAACAGAAATAATATTTTTAAATAATAATTTAATATTACATAAAATTAATAATATAATAAATAAATTAATAATAGATAATATTTATATGATAATACTTCCAGAAGATACTTATTAATGAATAAATAAAGAAATAAATAATTATAAATAAAATATATAAATATAATAATATGCTAGCTAAATTAGTAGAATAAAAAAAAAAAGAAATTTTATTAAAAAAACTATCTATAGTTAAAATAACTCAAATATATTATATGAATTATAAGATGATTTTTGTGATGTAATATTATATATAATATAGTATGTAGTATAGTAATAATCTGTAAGAGAAAATTAAATTTATTATATATATATTATTAATAAAGTATATTAATATTAGATACAATTCTTGCTTTATTATATATATATATATAATATTTAGATATATATATATATATTCCATATAAATGATTACAAAATTCTTAAGATAGTAGACTAAGTAGATTTCAGTGAGAAATTTGAAAAAATTAAGATTTTATTTTTGATAATAATAAAAATTATCTTGTATATTAATTATATAAATTTTATTTATAATATATAATAATAATTAAAAGTAATGCAACACAAAATTAAAAATTATTAAATTATAATATATTTATAAGTAACTAGCAAAATTTAATAAAATTAATAAATATAATATATTAATAATATTAGTTTTATTTATTTTACTATTATTAGATAAAATTTTGAGATAATATATATGAGTATTATATTTCTTTTAATCTTTTTTTCAAAAAATCAAATAATAAGTAATATTATATAGAAAATACAAAATAAATAACTATTTTATTTATTTTTTTTCTTAAATTATATTACAGCTTTTTAATAATAAAAACAAATATTATAATTCTTGAAAAAAGAGTTAAAATAATTATTTCACTTCAAAATAAATATATTACAAGAGAAATAGCAAGTACTTGTAAAATTAGTTCTTTCACTGTTTCATATATTAATAAAAAATGATGCAAATAATGCATTTTAAATAATATAAGTAAATCTGATCATTCATAATTATTAAATAATCAGTTAGAAAGAATAATAATCCATTTTATTATATTCTATAACTGTTTCACTATTATTATCATTCAAAATTATCTTTGTAAAACTGAAAATATCAATATTTCAGATTTTTGGATCTGATAAAAAATAGTACTATTAGAAAAGAATAGGCAAGTTATTAAAAAGTTATTATATTAAATCTATAATAAAATTCAGTTATGAAAAAGTAATAATATAAAGTTATTTCATTTTTTGTAATATTGATAACTTTTATAAAATTAATAAAAATATGAATGATATATTATATTAACAAATTCTTGAAAAAGATCTTATAAATACTATTGAAGATCATTTTTCAACAAGACAATGATCCCAAACATATAGCCAATTTGATGAAAGAGTGATTTGATGATAATAATATTATCATTTTAGATTGGCCAGCATAATCACCTGATCTAAATTCAATCAACATTTATGGAATGAAATAGATCATTATCTTCAGTATCTTTCTGAATCAAATTTCAGGTATGAAAGACTTATGAAAAAAATACAGCTAGTTAGGAAGGAAACTGATGTGAATTATTGCACAAATTTAATTCATTCTATGCCAGAAAGAATTTGTAACATAATAAAAGCACATGATGGTAATACTAGATGGTAGTATATTGGATATAGTTAAAAAATAGAAAAATGTTTTTATTTTATATTGAGAATTATACAAATTTATATTAAAAATTAGCAAATATAATGCAACACTAAAAATTGAATAAATGTTGTGATTGTGACATAATTGGTTTAATAGTCAACATTGAATTTATTATATTTAAGTTATTTGCATATACTAATAATACATAATTAAGTCTATCAATTATAATTTGATGTCCTTAACGTTAAGTCTGTGCAAAGATATCGCGATTTAACAATTTTCAATTTTGCATTACTTTTGATCACCACTGTACATATATCAGGCACCCAGAGGACGCAACAAAACGATACACGGTTCATTATGGAAGACAATTCAAATGTTTTGGATTTGCCATTGTAACTGGTATATCATATAGTCTGCCCGCTATTAGATTTGCATTCCAAAGCGCGATATTTGCTTAATATAAAGAGAATTTTAAAGATAAATATCCAAAAGAACGAAAATCAATTATACCGTTTTTATTTTAATTGCAGCCATAGCGATGATTGAATCTTACAGTATATTATTAATAGAAATAGAAATAATAAAATATGACTTTCAAGTTTGTTCTCTCGTCGATTCTCTAGTTTTTTTTAACAACAGCAGTGACAAATACAGCACTAATGCTTTTGTGGATTTAGAAGATTCTCGAACTAACTTTAAATACAATTCGTTGGGACAACAGAGATCGTTATTATTATGGAGTGTGCATTTAGGAGATGCACACTGACGAATGATGTCTGATCATTCCCTGTTCTAGACTTTTGTCTAACATATATTTCCAAATTTACCGTAGCAAAAAAAGAAAAGGAGCATGGACAAATAACTTTCCAGTGTTTGGGGTTATCATGTGATTGTTGTGTCGTCATTTGATTACCTTTTTTGATTAAATTTGTTCGAGTTTACAAATCCAAAAGTAAACTTCATTGTAATCTTGCTGCACAATGAACATCTGCGATCGATACGGCTTCAAATCAAACTACATGGTATATGTATGCTGCTGTAAGATGAATTTGGTGTTTAATGAGTGTTGGTGATTGTGATTTAGAAAAGTTCTCGAGCGGTAATAACATGAAAGATCTAACAGAAAAAATGAGTTCCCCGAGCAAGAAAGATGAAGCAGAAGAAAATGGTTCTTTTATGGATATTGGAGGGGATGATAATATATCTGAAGATTGGAATCCAACACAGAAGGAAGGGATTTTTAAACGAATATTAGCATTTATCGGGTCGAAAGGGTATAATAATATGATCAAAGGTGAATTTCTTCTTTTTAGATAATAAAATCAAATTTCCAGCCAAACATAAACCATCATTCTAATATAAGAAACTATTATATAGCAAGTCTTGCGTATTGGCTTGCATTCTTGTTGGTTTTTATTCATCCATTCGAACATCATTTCCAGAGAACCACTGTATTCAACAATTTGATTTTGACCTGCATTGTTGCTCACCCGTAAGTATTTAATTCAGTAATTCCCCATATATATATATATATAATAATAATAATAATAATAATTGATATCTACCGCTAGAGGAATATCCGTTGGTGCTTTTTTCCAAGGGGGAATTGATTTCTTAATTGGAGTTCTCTTTGGTGGGGCGTGGTATGCGTTATTGGATGGGGGACTAGGAAGCTCGAAAGCTGCAATGATAGTGGTTCTTTTTGTTACTATATATGTGTTGTCGATTTTACGCGCTGCAATTCCAAAGTTTTTCGTTTTTTCTTTGCTAGTTTGTTATTTGTCTTTTCAAGGTGTTGTCAATCGTCTATCTCGTAGGTATTGTTGTTACTCAACCCCCGAAGTTGGCTTCAGAAACAGTTATAGTAAATCCTCCCCCACGATACACCGGGATTTACTAAAAGAACCTTGATAATCGGTTTATCGAGGTTAACTTTATAATTTTGTATATTTATATTTAAATACTCTAATTATATTTTTAGTTGGGTATTTTGATAAAATTCAACTTAAAGAAACAATAATCGCCTTCTTGATAGGATTGGCGTTAAGCTTGGTGAGTAACAAATTTCTTATCTATCAGAGATGAAAGCCGAGATTACTCACTAATTATAGACTATCAATTTATTACTATGGCCTGATTCTGCTGAGAATGAGTTACGTCGAAAATTAATTTGTGCACTCGACAATATAAACACATTCAACAATCTCAACATTAAATCCTACTTATTAAGCATAACGACGAGTGAAAAGCAACGTCGTAATGATCTCGCACGATCCATTCGTGCCGATGTACAAACTTTATCAACGTTACTTCAAACCGCTGACTCTGAAATCAGTTATTCGGAATTCTCACTAAAAGAATATGCTAGTTTCGTAGCACAGATCAAAAGGCTCCAGCAATATTTATTAGCGGTATTTGGAAATTTAGTGACGCATGAGGAAGCTATGAAAGAAAATGATAAATTTCAGGAGGAATTTTTGGGCGTATTACGGACTCCTTTGAATTGTTTGAGCGCTGGTTGTGATTTGGTGATCAATTCGCTGAAACATAAACTTGATCCAGATAAAAAAGCTCAAGCAGTTGATCTAGAAGACGGAATCAAAGCATTTGCAGATATTCGTAATAATCTTCCAAATGATTTAACAGTCGAAAGTAGTGAAGGACTTTTACAAACGACATTGGCGATAATTCAAGAAGAACAATTTATTATTCTAAGAAACTTGTTTACTCTAGAATTAGATTGTTATCCGTCAGCTACGGAGGATAACAACAATAACAATAACAACAAAGATCATGAGGATATTGGTGAGGGAAATTCGCGAAATAATATCAGCGCAGTTCATTATAGTGTTGAAGCATTCAACGAAATGAAAGAATCGAAAAGAGTCGATTTTTTGGTGGACTTTTTCATGTTTGGAATAAGAGAATTTGTTGAAGAGTTATTACAACTTCGTCAATCAATTAGCAATAGCTCGGAGTCAAAGACAGGAAAGAGAGCTAAATCTATTCGGACTCATTTTCATTCGTATCTACCTAACTTCCTGACTCGATTGATTACTACTACTACTACTACTACTACTACTACATCATTACCATCATCGCCACCGTCGAATGGATCAAAGTCAAATCCTGCTCGTCCATCATTTCGTCTGAGGCTTAGCAAATTCCTGCAGTTCTTTATAAGTCCATTAAGTATTTTTGCATTGAAAGGAGCTTTACTTTTATGCGTCGGATTAATTCCTTTGTTGATTGGAGGAGAATCAAAAGCCTTCTTTTTACAATGGAATTTGCAATCTATTGCCATTCCTGTTAGTCAGATTAATAATTAATGCGTTCATTATCGTTATCACTCTGTATATTCGATTAATTTATTCTTCTTACAGTTATTAGTATCACTTAGTCCGATACAAGGAGCTTCGTTCCTTGCTTTCATGGTAAGTCTTTTTTTTATGCATTTATCTTTACATCTATTAATAATCGAATAACGTTATTTTTTCTTTAGTATGCTATTTTTGGAACTCTTATTGGATCTGTGTGGGGTTATGTATCCTTAATCACCTGGGGAACTTCGGACCCGTGAGTATTATTCATCGAATCGAATATATTTTGTATCTTAAAAATAATACCGATTAATTTCATCATATACGATAGTTATGGACTCTTGTTTTTCATCGCTCTCTTCGCATTGCCTGCATGCTATGTGGCCACAAATACGCCTTATGTAGTGGGATCTTTGATTGCCAGGATATCGTTATCGAGTGTAATTTCATTTTCAACGTGGAAAATTATTCCTTGATTTTTATCCTTTTTTTTTTTTAAAGTAAAATTCAATTTTTAGGTTATTCTAGCGATTTATCTGAATAGAAATAACCCAACATATGATAAACCTTTTAAAAGAGCATACAAAAATTTGGCTGTAACTGGAATAGTCGTCGCGTCTGTCTTTTTCGTTCAGGTTTTTATTTATCCAAATTATGCTCGACGCGTACTTCGTCACCAAATTTGTGAAGTACTCGAGAATCTCCGACTTTATTATGAACAAGTTTCCCTAATCATCGTGACCCTCATGGACAAAAAAACTAAAGAGGAAGATGCAAAAGCATTAAGTCAAGCATGCTACAAACGAGAAGTAAAACTCCAAACCAAGATACTCGGTCTACGCCCACTACTATTATTTGCTACGGCAGAACCACGATTTTCGGGGCCACTTCAAACAAAAGTCTACGAACAAATCTTGCACCATATTCAAGTGATACTTGACCGCGTCTCTTGGGCACGCACAAGTATCGGCACAAGACCATTTTGCGAAAAAGTCATCGACGACTTTTATCTGCCAATGATGGATGCGCGCAAAGAAGTCGTGCAAACGTTTCGCCTGTTGTTATATGTATATGCTAATGCTATGAAATCAAAACTTCCATTGCCGAATGCGCTCCCGAGTTCAGAACAGGCACGGCATAATTGGACACAAAAAATGTTAGAAGTGACAAAGAAAATACAGCTATCAGGGAGATTGGGTGAAGATAATAATAATAATAAAGTAAGTAATGAATACCTTCGGTATTATGCGTTGACGTTGGCGATTCGCGGAAATGCCATTCATATTGATCAGTTGGGAGAGTGTTTGAAGGAATTGTTTGGATCATCTGAAGGATTGGATATTTAACTGGTGTAATATTGTTTATCGTTATTTCAAATATATAAATATATCCTATTTACAAATATATGTCAAAAAAATAACATTGGCATTATTTATTGATAGAAATTTATTAATTGATTTGAGACAACCTCGTAAATTATGTTAACATTACTTAAATTTCAAATTTTCTATTTTCGTTTGTAATTATCATTTATTACAATGACAATATTTTTAAAAAAAATCTTCTCACAGGGTTAGTTGGAGTGATTAGATTAGAGATAAGATAAAGATTAATAAAGCTTTTTTGCATTAACTTGTAAAGAAAATTTTGTCACCGCATCCAGTAAACCAAATTGATGACTGATATCATTAGAAAGCACTTGAATAGGACTTTCTAATAATACAAATTTTTCAACTTTGGTCCACTGAAAAGAAAGTCGAAAAAATGTCAGACAAATTTAATATATATTTTTTGTCACAAAATTTTGAATGCAAATATTTTTCCGGTAAATGTTTAGCTGTAATCAGAAATATTTTCCTGAATTTCATTAATAATTGAGAATATAAAATTGATGTTTTAATTTTTTTTACTTATATTTAGTTTGTGTTTAATCTTCTCAAAATTATAAGTATTTTGACATAAAATAATTTGTATTTTTAATTTTATTAATATAAAATTAATGGAGATATTGATATTTTTTCTGTCATTGATATTTATTCAATATTTTATTTATTATTTAGTAAATAATTATTTAGCATTTTTAAAAATTCTACTTTTATTTATATATTTTTTAAATATAAATTGAGAATAAAAAGACTAAGAATATTAAGATGCATAATATAATTATTAAAATAAAAAGTAAAGTAAGATTAAATATTAATATAAATAAATTATTAATAAATTAAAAACACAAATAAAATATAATAGAAAAATAAAATAAAAATTATAAAAGATAATATTTTAAATAAATCTCAATAAATTAAAATTATAAAGAGCAAATAAAATAAAAATTATAAATATAATATTTTTTATAAGAATATAATTAGAAGACAAAAAAATTTATTTCTTAAAAATTTATAATTATATATTCTTATAAGAGAAAATTTTTTATATATTATAAAATTTGAAAAAATATTCTTATATAAATTTATTATATAGAGAATTCTTAGAGAAATATAATTATATTTTAAAATAGCTAAATATAAAAATAAAATATAATAATATAATAAAAAATAAATATAATATTAGACAAAATTATAGAATTAAAGAGATAATTTAATAAAATATAATAAAAAATTAAAATTTTCTTTTTATATTAAGATTTATAATTTTATTAAAAATAATTTTGTTTTTATATTAAAATAATATTTTATAATTTATAATTTAATATATATATTTTTTTCTAGATTTATTCATAGAGTTTTTCTAATTATAAGTTATCATAAAATTTTTTAATTTTAATTAGAAAAAAATTTATAATAACTTTATAATTAAAATAATTCTTTCAGAAATTTTAAAATAATAATAATTAAAAATAATATAATACTTAAATTTTTACTAATTATAATTAAGATTTATAATTTTATTAAAAATAATTTTGTTTTTATATTAAAATAATATTTTATAATTTATAATTTAATATATATATTTTTTTCTAGATTTATTCATAGAGTTTTTCTAATTATAAGTTATCATAAAATTTTTTAATTTTAATTAGAAAAAAATTTATAATAACTTTATAATTAAAATAATTCTTTCAGAAATTTTAAAATAATAATAATTAAAAATAATATAATACTTAAATTTTTACAAATTATAATTAATAAATTATATATAAAACTTTTTAGTTTTATTTTTTATTTTAATTTAAAATAAAATTAAACTCTTTATTTAATAATTTATAATTAGAATAACTTTCTTATAAAAGATTCTGAAGAATTTAAAAAATATAAAGAATTATAACTTTATTTTAAGTAAAAATTAAAAATATTTATTAGTAAAGTTAAAAATTTTTATATAATAAAAAATATATATTTACTAATTATAATTAATAAAATTCAGAAATTATGTTATTATTATATTAAATTATAAAATTTATTTTAATATAAAAACAAAAATTATTTTTTAATAAAGTTATAAACTTTAATATAAAGAGAAAGTTCAATTTTATTGTATTTTATTAATAAAATTGATCTTTTAATTTTATAATTTGACTAACTATTATAATAAAAATAATAAAATAATAATTATAATTATATAATTTGATAATTTTTTTAATAAATGATTTTTATAAATTTTATTTTCAAGAATTTATTGAATATATAATAGTATTTATTTTAAAAAAAGTAAATTAAAGATTATAATTTTGTATTATTATTAAATTATATAAGAGAATAAATAATAATTTTGCATATTAATTTTTTCTAAATATAAAAAATACTCTAAATTAAAATACTAAATTTTTAAATGAACTTTTGGTTATAATAATTTTAAATAAGATTATATATCTAAATTTGTAAAATTAAACTTAGACAGATAAAAGAATAATTTTATCTCTGCATGATCAAATTAAAAAAATACATATGTACAAAAAATAAAGATCATTCTCAAGCAAGCAAACAATATTATGAATCATGGCTCATTCATGCTGGTAAGTATAAGGAATTATAATGAGATCGATAAATTTCATGTAATTATGGTAACAGTATATATACCGATCAGTCAGCAAACTGAATTTTATAGTCTTCCTTGCCTGAATTTTGAAATATGTAATCTTAATGTAATTTATTCAATAAAAATAGCAGATTTGATAAAATGCAAGAATCATAGCATAAAATTATAATTTTTTAGATATTCTTATCAGTTATAATTTATTATCTTTATAATGTATTTGTACAAATAAATATCTATCAAAAATATTAATAATTATAAGAATAATAATTATAAAAATATTGAATATAATAATATCTAACTATATTATTAATTAGCTATAAATAATAAAAAGTTTATAGTAATCTTATGTAAAATAAAACTAATAATCAGCCCAATCCAAAACAAGAAATTAATAGTGTCTAAATTTGGTTTGGAAAATGACGGAAAGGCAATTTTACACATAATCTTGTTCTCTAAGTTTAACCTTATCCCAGTGTTACCGGAATAGTCAAAATTGAAAATTAATTGGATAAATTCATATGATTTTGTATAAAGGCTGCAAGTAAATAATTACAGTAGCGATCAAATATTTTGCATCACCTGACTGGCAAACTTCATGATTCAATAATTTTTTAAGTAGATAATGAATAATAATAGTTTTTTTCAATTTGATTTATTAAATCCTAAATAACACGAAACTACCTTTATTTACTTTATTTATTAAGCAAAAACTCGAAAAAATAAAAACATTTTCTATTTTTCGCGATGCATTTCTTTTGCTCGTTTATACAAAATGTAAAATTTTGAAAAAATAAAATGAAAAAAAAATAAAATGATCTAATTTTTTTTAAAAAAAATTATCATTCACCATTCAGTGTATTCTCCCTTTGCATTATAAATATCAATAATACGTTGAGGCATACTTTCAATAAAACTATTTAGATAGTCCATATCCATATCAATCCAAACTCGTTGAATAGTCTCCCAAAGTTGATCTGAATTAGTAATTACTATGGATGAACATCATATTCGACAATCAATCTCATTTCAAAGATGTTTTATTGGGTTTAGGTCAGGCGAATATGACGGTCACTCGAGTTTCTCTATATCATTATGATAGAACCATTCTTTAGTTTCAGTTACAGTATGTTTGGCATCATTATCTTGCTAAAAAATAATATTATTTTTATTTATTCCATGCCATCTGATTGTTCCTAATAGGTCATCAGTTAATATTTGCCTGTATAAATCTCTGTCTATTGTCCCAAAAATACGTACAATGTTATCAACCCCAAAAAAAGAAAAATATCCCCATACCATTACACTATCACCTCCAAATTTTTTCATAGGAATTATATTTCACTCATTAAATGGTTCATTAGGCCATTTCCAATAGTATTGATATCCGTCGGAGCCAAATATCTTGAATTTGGACTCATCGGACCAAATTACATGATGCCAATCCTTAATTCCCCAAGCCTTATATTCTTTAGAAAAATTGTAACGAGCATTATGAGCTTTTTTATCCAGAATGGATTTCTTTCACTTGATCTGGGAAGATAATCCATTTCTTCTTAATGTACGTTTTACAGTATCTGCGCTTACTTCAATTTTTTCATAGACTTTCAGATTTTTTTGAATTTCTACTGCATTAGAACATTCACCATTTGCTAGTAACCGTATAATACTATGCTCATGATGTGATGTAAATATTCTGGAACATCCTGATTTTGGTAAATCTTCAACAGTGCCAGTTTCTTTGACCTTTTGACATATCCAAACCACAGAAGACTGTGCTATATTTTCTTTTTCTGCAACAACACGGGTAGGATAACCTTCTTGAACTAGTGTGATTATACGTGTACATTTTTCCTTGGAAATACGGACCATAATTTTTATTTATAGGTGGGTGGCTACCAAAACAAAAAGTGCGAAAAAAAATATATGACTTTCACTAGTAAAAATTTTTTGTTTGTAAAAAAATTTGGGGAGTAGCTTATGCCGTAATTTTTTATTATGTAAACGATCATATGATTTGCATCGCTACTTTTGGAAATATGTGAACAGAAAAACCGGAATTTTACATAATATTGCATGTCAAAGGTTATTTATTATATCTGTGCTACTGTACTTTCGAATCGTTTATTTTTTTTGTACTTTACTATCTATAGATCGCGAGATATCACGATTTCTTTTTTGTGATCCAGGTGATGCAAAACATTTGATCGCCACTGTAATAATTCGTGTTTGGTTGGATCCACTTTATTGGTGGCTGCAAAATGTCAGACGCTCTGATGATAAGCTTTTAATGAAAAAAACTGCATAGGAAAGCTTGAGAGAGAAGTAAAAAGCGGTAGC